TTATTTTGAGGCGTAGACAAGTTGGGTGGTTTTCGGATAACCAGAATGCTTGTCGAACAATTTCGGTTGGTAGTGCAAAGCCATCTCTTCAGGCGTTAGCCATTGATATTTTTTTTCAAATCTGTTGTCAGAATGACATTCAACTCAAGACGACTTGGCTACCGAGGTCCGAGAATGAAAAAACGGATATGCTGAGTAAAATTATTGGTACAGATGATTGGTCACTCAATCCCAAGATTTTTTCGGCATGTTGGACAAAATATAGGACCTCTATAGCATTGATAGATTTGCGTCTTGCCACAACGCTCAGCAGCCAAGTTTCAATTCAGCAGCTTGGAACCCCGATACGGAGGCCGTTGACGCATTCTGTCAGGATTGGTCCACTGGTCTTGTAATTCCCGCTATTCGTCATCTTCAGAGTTGCAGAGGCAAGGCAACTTTAATATTGCTAGAATGGCCATCCGCTGCTTTGTTGCCGGTGTTGCGTACGCAGCCTGGGCGTTTTGCCGTTTTCGCGTCCTTCCCAATATTCACAATTTGCTAGTGAGAGGAAGGGGTCAGACATTCCATTTGATAAAAACCCGCAAGACATCCATCCAATCTTGTTGGTTGAAGTTCAATATGTTGGCTTTGAGACTCCCATTCAATCCAGATGCACATGATGTACAGGACGCGAGCAAACATAAATTGGAATTGTCTAATTATGTAATTGCATTTTATAATGTCGCTTGGTGTATGTTTATAATCTGCCATGACTAAGGAATTTGTAAATATGTATTTAACAAGAATAAATTTATGTCGCATCATTTAGTAAGCTTGTTTACCTTCTTACAGCGTCTGTGGCCTTTCGACATATTCGCCTTTCGCCATGTCGGCATGTCGGCATACTCGCCTTTCGACATATTTCTTGGTTCAGGCTACGACGGGGGCTGCAGGCGCATTCTCGCTAAACCTAGGAAGTCCAAGGAGCCAGTCGACTCGGAAATTCCGGCTACCCTGGTATCCCATAAGAATCCATCTTCGTCATCAGACTTAAGATTGCTATGTTTATGCTTTATTTCGTATGCTGGATTTATTCGTATAGGCGAATTTTTGAGCGTTAAAGTAAGCGACGTTTTATTTTCAGATTCTCATATGGAGATTAAATTGCATAAGCGAAAGAACGACCAATTTCGAGAAGGAAGTTCTATCATTATTGCAAGGTCTCACAAAACTACTTGTCCCGTACGCGTTACTGAAATGTTCGTATCTAAATTGCGGGCTTACGTTAATTCTGAAAGTTTTTTTCTTAATTCGAAGACTGATGCATACTAAACAGGGGCTCAATCCTCACAATCATTTGGAGATTTCATATTCTACTGCTAGAGATTTGATGATGAAAGGTATTAAACCACTGTTTAATGATATTTCACAATTCGGCACTCGTAGTTTTTGTGCGGGTGGTGCCACGGTGGTAGTACGTCAATGAAAGGTACGTTGCCAGACATGGGGGGTGGAAGAGCACGAGTTCAAAAGATATTTGTGTGTGATTCGCTTCAAAGCAAACTAGAGGTATCAAAGTCCCTTGCTCTAACATGCACGTTTGCGAAACCATAACTAAATGTTTGCTCTTCTGGGTACTGCAACCACCGCATATCGTATTTCACGTTTGTTCTGTAATTTGAACTAATGATTGAAGTATTTATATCATAATTCAATCGTTGAATGGTCGTGCGCACGACACAGCTTCCCAGTTACTTGAACACGCAACATATAACAGTGTTCATCGCGAAAACCGTCGTTTAATTACGAAGGGTATTTCAAAATGTTTGCAAAGAAATAGCAAACTAAATTACTGTTAAATATTTGTTTTCTTGTTGTATTTATTCTATTAATAAAATTTCGAAATAATAGTGAGTTGCTATGTTTTTATTATAGACTTAGGAGAGCTCATTTAAATCATACGCAAATTTGCACAGGTGTGTGGTAATCACCATATGATATGGAATTCAAAATTAAGGCTGCGCCAATAGAAAAACAGTTATGCAGTAAATCAATCAGATCACAGAGAACTAACGCCTGTCTAGCGCTGCGTCATCCAGCTTACTAACTCAAGCATTGATGAAAACACTGTGCATGTTTAATTCCGTCGGTTATCAAACAGGTACATGGTATTCACACATTTTGATAATATTAAAATCAATATGTCTGCTGACATTGGCAACGTATGTGGATATTTTAATAAGTACTATTATAGGTGCGTATCGTAGAAGGCATACAAAAATGTCCTGTATATGAACACTTGTATAGTCGGGTGTTGCAGGTTGAAACATTGCATGTGTTTTTTTTTAGCAAGTGCTTCAAAATAAAACAGTTTAATGAACTTGTGCACGTCTCGTATACATAAACTATTGTGAAACGTGCATAGTCGGAGGTTTCAGGTTAAAACATTGCATGTGTGTTAGTTTTCTGAAGTATTTCAAAATAAAATAGTTTGGAAGAAAATACAGATGTTTTCATATAATACACATGCTTTCAATTAAAAAAGTGTGTTTTATGAAAAAAAAAAGTAGTAAATATTGGTAAATTAACCTTATTCGTGTTATTATCATTTGTACACCAGTTGACCGTTAAGTATAAATAGCAAACTGAGTTTATTAAGCTTAATTTTCCTAATGGCCGATTTAGCATTTTATCAGTAGATAATAGCAGTGTTAATTGCAATACGTGTGCTGGAACCATAACATAACGTTTTGATTTACGTATGATGAATAGTGATCAAATAGTGATTTCGTTGTTTTGTACCAGCGGAGGGTATTTAAACACTGATGATTCGGTCTGTCAGCATTAAATTGGCCACCCGGTACATGAAATATTAATCTTCTCCGGTAAATCTACAAGTCAAGTACTCAAGTACCAACGTAGCCGTACATTTGTTAGGTCAATTTCATATAAAAATTATGAATTATGCATTTAATATTGTTTGTGTATGTAGTAATAATAATAATAATATGCCGTATACAGCTGATATGAACAAATCACTATAATTTATACATTTTCCTGTCACAAAAGAGAAATATATGTACACGTTCGCCACTATTTATTGTGGAATCTGCTGTCGCTTAACATCGTTTAAGCTTGTAAAAGGACGTTGCCCGGATTCGCTGATATCACCACAGAAACTTATCACGTCACGCGTACAAGTGCACTTGAAAAGGTAAGCCGAATCGCTCTATTGTAATAGGCAGAACTGAAATAGACATCCGTAATACCTGTTTTGTGCAAACACCTGTGTATATGCATGTTAAACGGCAGAAAAGAACCTGGTGAATTCACGTGTATTGCAAATGATGGTAGAAGTGTAGTCGACTACGCCCTGGTATCCCTGGATTTGTATGGCTATGTGACATCCTTCACAATCAAGAAAAAGTATCTCCCAAATAAGACACAACCTCCAAATTTGAATACTCTAGTACAACTATTAAGCTCCTCTAAAAGCCAAATCATTAACTCGTTAGCTCTATTTATAAGTGCTATTTAATCAAAGATCAAATGAGAATAACCTAATAAGTTTGTATGTATATTAATATTAATATCCCCATCACATTATTATATAGTGGTTATATTATCTATTGACACCCTCTTCATCTAAATTTTTTTTCATATTTTGTAATATAAATTTATTTCTTTTCATTAATTAATTGGTATGATTGTAATGGGCCGGAGACCATTATACAATTAATAAACAAAAAACAAACAAACAAAAAGAAACATTTTGTTTTTACAAAAAAGCATGTTGTTTCAAATATTGTTCGGCGCGGACCGTCGCCCTATGCATGCTATGACATTGTACAATCCAATAAGTGCATAATGCGTTGCCGGCTAATATGTTGACAATGTGTTTTATATGATGTGATAAATACAACAGTCAGCTGGCGTATACTTGAAAATGAATTAATAAAAATTAAACAATTAATATTCACTTTATGGAGCATACAGCTTGAATACAGCTTGAAACTATTGAAGAGACAAAGTAAAAACGGTTTTTCTGTTTCAGGCATATCAAGGGGACAGTTTTCAAACTCACACGGCCCAACAGACCGCTGGGGTAACATTAAGCCAATTGCTGATGAAATTCGACCGCATAAGTTTTTGCACGGATAATTTCGTATACCTCATTACACGAATAACATAAAACACCTTTCCGGGGTATTTGGAACCAAAATCGTCATCAACCTGTAAGGCCATTGCTGATTGGCTCATTACTTGATCGACAATTCATACCGGTCATATCTCCATAAAACAACTTGTCACGGCAAACATTTTACGATTCTTGTAACTCCTTTGACAACCTGTTCTACATTCAATGGCCATTTAATTTAATGTTGTATTTAAATACTGTTCGTGGTTTGTGGGACACCCACACAAGCTAAATTGTCATCACTACTTAGTCTATCCGGTGATTGGAGCAATATTTATCCATAAACGGAAAAAGTTGAATAATTTTCTACCGACTTTCTTGGACAAAATGTTGCTGTCGGTAACATACACGTGCGACGTCAAATGGCATCGCATGTACGGCCTCAAACCGTCGAAGTTATCGCGGAATTTGTTAATACAGAGACGACATTTAGCAAAATAATTTTGTCCTCGATCAAACACAATAAAATTACTGTTACATTTGTTTTCGCGCTGGTGAGTGTGTAATAAATATACTATCGATTGGTGATAGTTTCGCGTACATGGAGACGTTAACATAATCTGTAACAATGTTGATGTGTTAGTACAATGAAACTTGCGTTCATTTTGATTTCGAAGTTTACGAAATGTTCCTAAAATATGAAAACATTTCATTGATAGACACGCACGAGGAAGGCATTAACACATACCTTTTGAGAGGATCAACAGCAAACTCGTGAACAATCGACACAAATTGACTCATGGTTAGAATTGTTTGATACATTTCTCCCCAGCGAAGGATCTCGTCCATGGAATGAATAATATAAATAATAGGTTCTCACCTCACACAATGACAGGGCGATTATCAAACACAGCAATTTGTAACTTCGTACATCCATGTTGCCCAAAACGTCAGCTAAACACAAAATATCACATATACAGTCTCTCCAAACTGAGCACAGCTGTATACATATTTTACGATGCATATTTATGGAGGAGATCAAAATCAAACCAGCGGTTTCCGGCACGTTATCCTGGGTGCTCCGCGCTATATGCAAATTTATGCAGTAATATTCATGAGCTGAAAAACCAGTGCGGCGCCTCGTTTTCGCCAGCAGACTGGAACAAACCCATTTTTAAGTCCAAAAGAACATCAATAAGCGTCGTGGAAATAGTCGGTTTAACTAAATTGCTGGCCGTAAATATTTGCTGTATCACGTTACATTGTTTGACGACTCGCGGATGACTTGCGTTATAATTATCTTGCTCTGAGTTGAAGAAAAACAAATATTTCCCAATAAAAACAAGATGTAGTGTATCGCACTGAAACAAAACAATGGATCGGCGATACTCAGTTTCCAAAGTAAAATGCCATTACATTCATTTTCTACAAATACCGTATTTCATAAAATCGTAACTACGCAACTTTGATAAGTACACAGCTTCCTTAGTAAAATACCATTTTAATACGTCGTGAATATAATTATGACGTTTTCGATGACTTGGACGCACATGACTGGCCCTAAATGCAAATGTGAAATCTCTAATAGTATAGGAATCTTTGCTCCCTGAACTTTGAACCAATTTATATTAATTATTCAAACACCGGGAAACTACTAGACAGAAAGGGTCGTTTCCGGCTGACCTCAATAAAAGCTAATTAATGAAATCGGCGGAGCTCCTCGGAGCTCGGCTTGTTTGATTGTGATTTAAGCAACGCCTTATCGACCGACATGGCATATCAGGGATTCGAAGTATTACGTATACGAGTGAGTATAAGCAAGTGGTTTATTATTGTGCGAGTTCTTTTAATGTATACAAACAATACAACAAATATCTAAATCAGAGGAAAAATCAAACTGCAGGGACGGAAAGATATATTATTTTAATATTTATAAAATAAAATGGATATCAATAAGCTCTTGTAGTGATGTTGAATGCATAAGGCATGCAGTGACCCGTGTCAAATGAACTAGCTTATACCGACCCTGACCACGTGGTCGATGCGTACTAAGCTTAATCCCTCTGCGATGAACTTGTTAAAAATAAATCCTTTCGCTCGTGACAATATGGCCACAGGATAGACCGCATCTCGCGTTAAAATGACTTTCAACGTCAGGGTCAGGCACATGTTTAATTGCCATTTTTCTTGGTTTGTGAAAAGATCACAGGTTGAGAGTTGACTTCAAATTGTGTAATTATTAATTAATTCATCCCGATGTAAATATATTGATATATAATATTTTTATATTTGAGTCGGTGTAAACTTGCGACAGGGATACAAGAAATATGAAAAATCTCCAAAAACACAAAATAAAATAATATAAAGAAAAAATTATTCATTTATATGTATAAGCCGTTGTAGCAATGTCCAATGCATAAGGAAGACACTCGTCCGAATCAAATGAAAAAGATTACCTACTGGCCACACTTAAATAATTCCGATTATGTTTTGAAACCACAATAAATGTAGTGCTACAAAATAGAAACAAAACCTGTGTAGGCATATTATCTGGTGTACTTGTGTGTGTAGTATATTTTGTAAATGTCAACTGATACTATAAACCCGTGATGTTGGTACATTCAATGTGTCACACTACGTAACTGCAGCAGCATTGCCAGCAAAATGCCGACTATATAAATAGTCAATAAGTACTCAGTTTGTGTATTTTGGTGTGCTATTAAAGCAAATATTTTTTGCTGCGTATTTTCGACTTGTAGATCGCACTGTACCAAATCACTTGCACTTGAGGTACGATGCAATACATTAGACAACGACAGAGAGCAACACAACTTGGTTACGAAACAAATTCATTGTCACCGAATACTGGCGATAGATTGTGTTAAAGCGGGAGGGTCGTCACCTGTGCACGCGCAGGAATTGAGTCCCAAGCGACGATAACAACACACGCTAAAAACGCAAGGTCTCATGGGTAGACGTTTGTGTGTAAACAATGAAGGCTATGGCCATCTCGCGCATGCGCAGGTGACGACTCTCCCCGCTTTAACTAGTATTGAAAAAATCAGGGCTTCTCTAAACAAATGTAACGTTTCTAGAGCAAAGTGTACATTTCCAAACGGGTCCCAATAGGCAATGATAGGTGGTATGAGTATTAGTGCGTATGGAAGTAATTGTACCACCATACGTTGCTTTTATTGATCAGGAGGAAACATATATTCGAACATCGACGCCAAATTAGATATTTCTTTCGTGTGAACTACTCGTTTTATATCTAGAGTACTTTTATGAAACCACAATATTAAAAACATGGGAAATGATTGACAGAAAACAGAAAACGCGTGATAAATTAAACTCATTATAACTGCTAAATACTATGCCGTTTATTCGGTGTTACTTACTTGCTTTACTTTTTATATCAGCAGTTACTGTGAATTTACGTATTCGTATTCACTGTTATAATGCTGCACCATTACTTTCTACTTTCACCATCATAGTACACTCAGATATTTTCCATTTTGACTTGGTGCACTGTTTGGTGTGGATCGGCGTGGACGGGTTTCGCGTTCCCTGCACGTAATAAGATCTGTTGTTATGCATGTGTTTTTAGTGTAGGCTCATTTATCATGAACTAAACATTCGTGTATTAATTTTGGTAAAAGCAAAATCTCACCCGATTCTGTTAGAATATTATATAGACATAAGAAAAAAATAGGGTGTCATTTTTTTCTCTCTTTCTGACACCCTGAAATCCAGGATGGCTTCCACACTACAAAAAAGGGGTAAACTGGACATTACGAGCGAACTAAATCTGATTCTAATATGTTTTTCACCATCTATTTCTTGTAAAAGAGCAAATAGAGATTCCCACATGGG